TTGAAGGCTCGCCGCAAATGACAAATACATATTAATAACTCGACTGCTATAAAACATGGACACTAAGCAGAAACGTAACTAGCACCACAAAGAGTTTAGGCTCTGTGAATTCTTAACTAGATCATGTCCTTGAGGATTTGCATTGTATCTGTATGGGGCTGCAGTAAGAGGAAACAGCTGAGCGAGTGCTGGCTTTCATATACCCTGTGTACTTGCTATACAAAGAACAAATGTAAAGACAGACCTCTTGTTCCCAATAAAACATAATAAGAACTCAAAAGGTGTTTTTGATTGGAGGAGAGCTCGGAACTTTTCTTTTTCGACAATGCAATGTTTTGTTTATTGTATTGATTGATTATTTTTCTTACAACAAGGTTTGGAATTAGATTTTATGTAGAAAGATAAGTGATAGATTTCCCCGGAGAGACTGAGAAATCTATGGAACGTGCCATAAAACTACTGTTTAAGCATACAGCTGGGGTGGATGTTATTGAAAAGGATATATTACAGGGTTGATGCGAGGTTGGGGCGCTCTCTTTCACCCGGGACAGGCCCAGAGCAGGACATTGGGAGGAAAGCCGCATGTTTTAAAACTGCTCCACCTCTATTACAACACTGCCTGACACACCCCATCTGAAAACATCAACATTTAGTAGAAGAAACTGCAGTGATATCAACGTATTTTCATCTGCATAATATGCCTATAGCAATGTTATGTAAGAAACATTGGCTCAAGTTGAATATATGCTATGATTGTTAGTATACTTTTTGGCATACAGTGTGTAAACAAGACTAGTCAATGCGTTATGTTGAAAAATAACTTGAAAATTAAAGTTTACTTTACTTTAGGCTATGCTCTAGACAAAATGCATACTTGCAAAATAAATTAAAAAAACGGTTTGGGCCTCGTCTTTCCACTATCTATCCATTGGATTGGTTACATATGTATAGCCTCCTTTTTGAACATTATAGTGAATGTGTTTTCTTTAAAGACGAAGAAGAAGATTACGTATCTTTGAGAGGTTATCAGAGTCTGGTGCATTGACATTTTTCCATCCCGACATCTTCTTCTGCTTTATTCTTTGCAGAGACTCCCAGACTTCCTTATCCATGCACACTTCCTCCGGTGTTCCTGCTTCTTCCTAGGGGCCTCCACCCGGAGGGATATGCCCCAGAACACCTTCCCAGGGAAACATCCTGGCTCATTTTGACGAGGAGAAAAAGCAGCGTTACTCCATAGTTTTTCCTGTACATAGGTGGAAAAAATAGGGGGGCACATGTTTATTCATGAAGTATATTAATCACAATGCTGACCAAACATTACAAAAAGTATGTTGAAAACTGTGTCACTGTCTCAAATAAAAGCGGGTAAACAAATATGCTCAGTTTGGTTTGGCTGCGACTGAGTTTCCACAGGGGACAAGCGTTTCCAGGAAGCGCTCTGACGGGATGACAGAGCAAATCACAAACAACATCACGCTGAGGGCATCACTGTCCATGTCGATCATTAACAGACTGTCACAAAGCTTCATGGCGTGGGTTTGTGGGTTATTTGTATACTGCCGATAAGCGGAAGCGTATATTAAAAGGTTTCTGCTTTTTGATATTTTTTTCCCATTTTCCTGATGATTACTCCAGTTATCCCGTGAACACTTCCTGTTTGCTGTATGTACATAGATAGGCTTCTCAGTGACTGGAGGCTGGGTCCGGACGTTAATCCCGACACATACCTAATGAGCTTAATGTCCACCTCTGAGCTCTGAGACATGTGCCTTGAGGACTGCAGCACACTGGCCCCTATTAGGCTACACTAGGCACGTTGAGTTAAATCTGCCATACTCACTCCTTTTTCTAAATCATTACCCACATTATGAGCAAGCTCTTATGCGATTAAACAATTATTAATTTCCCTCCAGCGCAAAGAAGGGGTTTAATCGTCCTCATTAAACTAGCTTTATATCCATGAGGCCATCTGCTCCAGTACTGTATGTATCCAGAGCTATAGGGCACACTGTCATTTGTAAACAGACCGTAGTATGTCGTCATGCTGCCTTTAAAGTCGGTCGGGAATAGAAAATAGGAGCAGTACATGTGCTTTGCTGGAGGCCTCCAAGAATAGGTCCAGATTTGACAGCCTGATTGGGGATAAAGTGTGATTTAGTCCTAAGACTCATGGCCCCTTTGGCCCCAAATGATAAACACTCACTTTCTTTAAAGCTTAAAAGTAGAGGAGAAAATATCTTCACGGTACAACGGAATAATGAGAATTTAGAGATTTAACTCGCCTACACAATTTTGTTTTGTATCAACTCTTTGACAACTACATTTTATTTATTTTTGTGTAGCCATATTTTACAACAGCAGTCGACTCGGGAGACTTTACAAAATGAATGATTCGTCAACAACAAATTAGAAAATCCAACACAGGACATGCAATAATATAACAAATACACAGGAGCCATTGGTTAATCCCTTTACAAACATGCACACCTACCTGCAGTTAACTCTGCATCATCTGACTAACCGACTGCTGTTTGCTCAGAGCTGCATATTCGCCAGATAGAGCTTCAGTGGTCAGGTGCACTCTGGGTCTGAAACACAAGGGCCTGACGTTGTCAGATCATAGAAGCAAAGCAGCGCACGCCCTGGTTGAGACTGTGATGGAAGATTACCATTAATATCGTGTGCCACTGTGAGATAGCTGAGCTTGTAAAATGTTCTAGTGCCTTATTTTCATAATTATTAACAAACACAGTAGTCATTGTTGGAATCTACATTGGTTGGTGAATTATTCGCTTCATAAACTACTGGCAGCCAGTACTCAAATCAACGACCAATGGCCCAAATAAATCTTAAAAAATCAGATAAAAAGTGGTTTGACAAATCTCACAGCCCACATCCTGGCAACAACACCAAATGCCCAACCACTATTCAGTGTATTTTGAACTCAAATGTTATGATTGATTGATCAGGGTCAGGAAACACAAAAAAAATATATAAATTTTATCCTATTTAAAATCCTACACATTGGTCCCGGTTCTCTTGGGACCAATCATTCTTCATTTCCGCATGGCGCTGTAAAGATGGCGCCGTGGCAAGAGCTCTGGTGTGTGTCTGGTGCACACCGGGGTAGTCTTGCACAGTTTTTCCTATGTGGTTTTACTGCAAATGGCAAATAAATGAATCTGAATTTATGGATATGTGAAAGCACCAAAAAATAGTACAATTCAAACAAATGTTTTTCTTATAGTTCAATGAAAAGTTTCCTGTCTCTTATAAAACTTTTCTTTTGTCTTTCTCTCAAACAATATAACAAAGCTTCTACGGAGGATTTCCTTGTTCTCACAGGTCTTAATAAACTCTGGAAATAGCATGTTCCAGGTGTGTAGCTTGATCCTTCGTTGCTTTGCCTCAAATTCAATTAGGTCCCAGACGTTCCACAGGAAACTAATGACAGATGATGCTGGGTTAATGAACACCGTTTGTTGTCCTGCTGCATGTGTCAGGATCCACCAGTCAGCCGTGTGGATGTATTCACTGAGAAAGCAAGTTATCAGGAGTCGGTTAAAGGCGGTGCTGAGGAAATCATTAATGTGCCACATGAGAGTATTCTGGGGATAATTTGTTTTCAATAAGATATCTAAAATCAGTCCACCCAGCTGCACTCTGAACCAACATGAACAATCCTTCTGGTAATCTTCTGTAATCTCTTTTGCACATTGTTCTATTCAACAAAATACAAAGCTATAGTTGGTCAAAGTCAAAATGCAAATCGTGTATTGTAATATTTGCATTAGCTAAAACAGCATTTGTGTGTTTCTTGTCTTACAGTGGCTTAAGCCTTAAGGTACTGATTTAAGTTTTCAAAAAAACTCCTCAATATGTTGTCATGTTTACAACCCTAAACATTACAACATTATTATTTTGAATACATTTGTATAATTACAGCTGTTTTGTGTTGGACCGAGAACTATATGTGTATTGGTCACTAAACAGCATCAGGAAGTCACACACCAGAAAGGTCAGGGATGAAGGAGTGTGTGTGTAGTTGTGTGTCTAGTCATGTGGAGCTGTGTTGGTTGTGTGTAGTTAGTGCAGTTGTATTTGTTGTTGAGAGTTTAGTTTTGTAGGCATTAGTGTAGCTGTGTGTGTGTGTGTGTGTAGTTGTATATATTATCATAGATCCATGGTAGTCATATATAGCTGTAGTTGTGTGTAGCTGTGTAGCTGTAATAATGCATTGGTTTTATATAGCGCTTTTTTGGACACTCAAAGACGCTTTACATTATTCTTTCACTCCATACACAGTGCTGATAAACTACTACTGTAGCCACAGCTGCCCTGGGGCACACTGACAGAAGCAAGGCAACCGGAATGTGCCATCGGCCCCTCCAACAACCACCTTCCACCACCAACCATTCACACACACCATACTCATTCTAGGCAATGGGGGTGAAGTGTCTTGCCTAAGGACACAACAGCAGTTTGGCGCAGCCGCCTCACTGTGGCATCTGGTGTTCCCAGAGGTTGTGTCTTGCCAAGGACACAACGACAGCAGACAGTGGGAGTCGCTGGTGAAAGTCTTGAGGTGGGCTCGAACCCATGACCTTCTGGCTCAAAGGCCAATGTTCTACCAACTGAGCTACTGCCACCACCAACTGTATAGTAGAGTGTAGTAGTATAGTTGTGTGTAGTCAGATATATTATCATAGATCAATGGTAGTCATATGCAGCTGTGTAGTTGTGTGTAGTCATAGTAGCTGTATAGTTGTGTGTAGCTGTGTAGTTGTGTGTAGTTATATGTAGCTATGTAGTTGTGTGTGGCTGTGCAGTCGTGTGTAGTTGAGTGTGGTTGTGTACCCCGCAGTGCCTCACCTCCTCGGCCGCAGACCAATGGGAGGGCGGTGGGGGAGGGTCACGTGTGTACACAGGGAGCGCTCACTCCTCCAGCGGTAGTAAAGTGTGCATCGGGCTGACTCCTCTCCCCAGAACAATCTCATATGAAAAAGTTGGTAGTGGAGGACTGCACTGGACCAGAATGCAGTAAAGCGACTATTTTAGCTGCTTTTTGGGGCTTTACGAGGGAGGAGAGATCCAGAGCGCGTATTTCTGGACGTGTTTGTCAAATGAAACGAATGAGAAACACCAATGGAAACGCTCCATCCAAACCAAATGCCTCCGTAGGTTTGTCACAGAGTCAGAGATCTACGTTTCTGGTAAGTTTATTCCACGTTTAGCTTTTGTTTCTGACGCGTTTCAGATGCGCTTTGTAAATGATCCAGTGCCGTAGAAGTCTTGTTGGAGTAAGCTTATGTGAGCCGCTTTGCTTTCGGTAACAATAGCCGTGGAAATGGACGTATAATGGCAGGACCGTGACAGCTATCCACGCTTTGATCTGCTCAGTCAAGTGTGATGGAAACACACAATGTCTGCACTAAAATAAAGACAGCCACGATATGGGTTCATTATTGCGGTGTTCTCAGCTGCAGAGTCATTCAGAAATGTGCACAATTTGTCATTAGAGAAAGAAATAACCATGCTTATCATGGTTTCTTATAATTTTGCTGAGAGTTGATTTCCCTTAGCAATAAATATGAGTTCTATAGGAATAGGTCAAGAGATTTTTTTGTGCACTGTCTGCGTTAAAAGCCTATAGGAGACACCTCTATTGTGCAAATGCAGTTTTGCTGACTAAACATTCTCTTCACCGCCACACATGCACTTCTCATCACAATGAACTTGAAATGAAAGTCTTGGCACATCGATAATTAAAGCATCTTGTCACATGAAGAATGTTATTGTATAGTTCATGGTATGGGATCGTTAAATTTAATACATTCAACTCATTCAGATGGTATATCATGTTGACATTAATTGTCCAAGCATACATTTACAATCCTAACTCACTGGCGCAGAATGTGATGTTGTTATGAATGGATTCTCATGTTGAGTATGTGTGTGTACAGACAAAACTGATGCAAGTTTGGAGTGAGTAAGAAGACTTTGCTCTTATCAAGGCTGGGTCCATGTGAGTGGTGTGGACATGGGCGTGTGTGGTTGGGCTTAATGGATGTAAGCCGGCTTTGTGCTGGCCACTAAATGAACTCTGACTATTGGGTCTGCAGCTCTGACTGGATGACCAGACACAGGTGACCTAACGTGACAAGGTAATGAGGAAAAACAGCAGACATGTTTCCATCCGTAAGTTCATTAAGAGCTTTGTGCTGTAGATCTCCAAACTTACATAAACATCGGCAAGAAAAAGTTCCAAGATTAAGATTAAGAGATACTTTATTCGTCCCACAGTGAGGACATTTCAGTGTTGCATCACCATTTTCAGAGCAGTAGCACAATGTAAATGAACAAAGCTCTATACTAAACGCTATAGTAAATATAATAACATGGAATAACATGGTGCACTTTGAAGAGATTTACTTTATGATTGGAAGAAAAATCAGTAATCGCAGTGGTCTGAATCGGTGAATAATATCAATAATGCAGGATCTAGGGCAGTAGTATTTTGGATGAGTTTAAATGTCCCCCATGATTAATCTCTTTTATTCCAATCAGTGATGAAAGCTGAGTCTTTTTAATTAGTAAAATGTTTTCAGGCGTTATTATGCACCAAAAATCACATCACATTCGAACACTCACCGCAATGCTTTCTAGGAATAATTGACAACATAGAAATTCACTGGAGAAGCTAAAATACAGCGTTACCTGTAGAATGTATCTAGAATATGCATTTATTGGACAAAATCAAAAGGTCGTTTGTGTATGGAAATTATGATGCTTTGATTTGACACCTGCGAAAGTGGATTTGAATGAGAGTCAGAACTTTGGTGATACTGGATACTGCGTAGTCTTTCCAAGTTTCTGTTTAGTCTGTGGTGCTTGTGGTGAATAACATGTGGCAAAATCAAAACCTAACGACTAAACATAACTAAAAATGTGTGTGATAAAAAAATCCCAATTCAAACCAGGATTCTTATAGGAACATTTCTTATTCCCATAATAAATGTGAGATGTGGTTTTAAGACTCAAACAGAGCAGTAATTACAATCAAATAAATCAAGATATACTTACTTTTCTCAGCTTAATGATGAAATCGCTTTGTTTGGAAATGACTATTAAAATGCCCTGCAGCGGCTTCGAATAAATCTTTTCAGCTGCAAATTTAGATGCGAAATCTCATATCCGCATCCTCTAGTTGATCAATCAAAGAGCTAATTGCTGGAATAATGGATTAGCAAAACAATCGTTAGCTGCAGCCCCATTTCCCATACAGCAACGTGATGTATTTTATTGATCGCAAACCCTGAAAAAAGGGCCGTGCTGCTCGATGCTGGGATAGTTGTATGCACAGGTACACAAGCTCCATCAAATTGTGCACATTCGTTGAAGAATTTATTAATTCATTTGAATTTAGGATCGTAGATATTAATCAAAGTGTCTGTAAACAGCTAAATATGCTTGAATTAGCACAACAGATAAATTGCATTCATTGTCCTAAGGCAGGTGGAAGCATACAGATGCACAGTTAGGTAAAAGTACAAACAATAAGTCAACAAGCATGACATTAAGAATTTAACAGAGAAGAGAAAAATAAAGTCCAAAGAAGAGCAGATGGGAGCATGACTGGTTTGATTTCAACAAATGTTTCAGGACTCCTTTAAATGTTATAGGTAGGTCCCACAGTTTTGCATGTCTTCCGGTAAGATGTTGCTTAATGTTGTGCCTCTAGACAATTCTAGCGTAATACGTAATTACATTTTAAAGACCTAATAGCTGTAATTATGATTTACTCTTTATGTATTTAACCACAAATCCGGTAATTCCTTTCCGTTTTCCAATAAACGAATGAGATCCAGTTTTGGGAAGCACTTCTGCAGAACCATAACAAGACTGACTCATGCAATGTTGTTTTCATTTCAGCTGTAGTATTTTTTGCGCAGATACGTGAGGGGTCTTGTGACATCACCGGGTACATTCTCAGAAAAGGCAGTAAATTCCAGGAAGGTTATACGAGGGGTGTGGGCTTCAGTACTATGTCACTCTACTCCAATCCGCGCATACATCAGGCGGATCTGAATTCACAACTTGTCGACGCCAAGTGCATGTGCGTCACTCCAAAAACGAGATTGTGTTTTTTTGTGGTGGGGCCGGAGCATGCTGTAACAGGGCCTCCCTCCCCCTGGGAATATTTCACTTAACCACGTTTGACATTGAGTACTGCACAAAAGTTCACATGGGGCTTAATCACACATACAGAAGTACAGCCCAAGACATGTGCAAGAAGAAGTTTTTCTTTCGTTCTCTTTGACAGCTCAACCTGTCCATTTTGTTGTTACTGTCATTGACGGGCGCATTCCAATGTCTTTCATTTTCAAGTTTATCTAAATTCTGAAGAATGGGTTTAAAGATGAAAAATTACTTTATTTTTGGACATTAAAAATAACAATCATATTTCTTCTTAGTGTTAGATTTGATTAAAAATGAAAAGACAATATGAAGTAGAAAATATATTGTAAGTCTCAAGTATTTATTCCTTCTCACTGTGGGAAGAATAGGGAGGTGTAGACTATTTTTATTTTATTTTTTTTCAATTTGAAATTCACCAACTGCAAACACAGTCATGTAAAAATGTAAATGCAGCTGCACAATTTCCCAAAAGAATTTGTTAGAAATAGTTTTTTAATACTGTTTTAAAAGCCTGATGTCATAGTGTTACAATTACATCATTCTAATAGAGAATTAAGGAACTTTTGATCCAAAGTAGAACGAGTTTTTGCCAGAAGTTCAAAATATTAGCACGAATGAATCTAAAAACTGTTTGTCTGTTTTCAAAGAAGTGACAATGTTGTAACATGGTAAAATAAAAGTTGATTTGCACATTTGTCTCCTTTAGAAACATAACTTCAATAAGGATAGTATCTCTCTCTTTGTGGCAGTGTTATGACTCCAAAAACTTTTAGAATGTTTAGGTTAAAGCTATTAAGAAAAAATCTGGTCTCACTGCCTGAAATAATGTATTATGGAGACAAAAGGAGAGTCAAAAGTCAGGATGATTTATCAAGTAACTAGTTCTGGTCCGCCATGTCTTGATATTTGTATTTTCTGAAACTCCTGTCCTGTGTATTAAGAATGGTTACCTGTAAGCTTTTTTAGCTCTTTGACCAGTGTGTCTCATTATCTAGAACTTCAATTTTCAGTCATTTTCAACAGTTATCACTAGGGGTGTGACAATATATCAATTTTTCGATATATCGCGATACTTTCTCCCGCGATTCGATTATCGATATGCATTTGCCAAGTATCAATATCGATTTTGAAAAAGAAAAAAAATATATATATATTTTTTTGTTTTGTTTTTTTTTGTTACTAATTATTATTTTTGAATTGGTATCAATACTTAATATATGGCTACATTACGCATCTCCATTCCTCAAAGGCCAACGCTCTACCAACTGAGCTACTGCCGCTCTAAGGTACCCTCAGGTTCCCACCCCTAGTTATCACCCAGAACCTGGAGAAAAGGGTTTTTGGTCCCAACATGTTTTCAGTACCAGTGGAACCGAATCTCTCTTTTGGTTTTGGATTGTACCTAGTCCTAGTCCCGGTGTAGAAAGGTCTTGTTATTATGATAAAGGTGAATTGCCTACAAATGACTTTCATCTTCGCCGCACAGCGCAAAGGAAAAGGTCTTTTCTTTTCACACTGAAGCAGTTATGGAACACACGCTGAAGAGTAGACTTTTCTTTCACTCCTTGTTTTTCTCTCTGTTCGGAATGGAGATTTGATTATCACAGGCTCCTGGCTGGCACAATCCGCAAAACTCAAGCACTATGTTTTTCTTGAACAATACTGAGTCTGATTCTGCTCACATTGGACTGGCAGAGCACCGACAGCAGCTGTTCATAGTCCATATAAGAGTGATTTTAAAAACGTTTACTATATGTTATGTAATTCTGACGCCTTTACTGCATTTTATTATTATTTGAGCGGGGCTAGTTGTGTGATCTATTGTGTCAAACATGGAATGAGGGCCAAAATCTAGTCCTGTGTCAAAAATTCAAAAGTTTATATATCTTTTTTGTACTGATGTTGTAGTGAGAGCCATAAGGAGGTTGAGGATGTTTTTGCTTTTAAAAATTGTTTAAAAAAAAATCTATTTATCTAGCTAAAAGAGACGACTGGATGTTTACAAAATCACCACATATTGTAATAATATTGTGTATGTTATCTATGTGGAAATATAACAACTGTTTATAACTGTGGGACTTCTAATCTGTCTATTGTTCTGTCACCGTAAGACAAATATTGGATAACCTTATAGATTACTGGTATGTATACTACTAAAAAAGCAAAACATGTTCAGTAGATAGTAGTTGTATTCTCAGTTGGTAATTGAAAGCATGGAGAACACACAATATGGACATGCTCAAGGACATTTTTCATTGTTACAAAGCAGAATAGTGTTTATTTTTTTCCTGATGTTTTTCTCAGTCTAATAGAAACCAGCGCTCTATGGTTCTCTGGGGGTCTGCGCTTGGGCTGCTGTGCTTAACAGTGACGTCATTATGGGCCCATTGTTAAAAAACATCCGTAGTTGATTGTTGTCTCTGTTCTTAAGAGATTTAGCACTTTAAATGAGCAACAGACATTTAGTCAAATTGAGTTTTTTAAAAATAAATGTATTTTAAGTTTGGTTGTATATGATAATGTGCATATTGACGGACTAAAATTAATGCAAGGAGAATGTAGCTTGGGATTTGCATTTCTTTTTCATTTCGATTTCCATTCTCTCTTTCTCTCTCATTTGAGCAGAACGTTACATTCATCGTATTAGAATACATAGTTCCCACATGACGTCACTACATACGGGGATTTGCCGACCCGGCGCCATTTGTGTTGGCATGCTGTGGGCAAAACAATAGAAAAAGAAGCTGAAACGTGTTAATGTCGTGATAAAGTTGAAAATGGTCATCTCCTGCTGGGTCAATGGATGTTCAAATCGTGCCGGAGGTTCCGTTAAACTTGGATTTTACAGTATACCCATCATTAGACTTCATAAATGTGAGAAGACTAAGCTTTTGTCAGAACAACCACGGAGGTTATGGCTTGCGAAGATAAACAGGCAAGAAACTCCCTCAAAACACGCAAGAATATGCTCGGAGCACTTTGTGTCAGGTGCGTATCGTATCTTATAATGTGTTGACAGACGTAATTTACTCAGTACTAACTTGTGTATGCTGATAGCTGGTAACTTGAGAGTTTCATTATTTAGATTACTTTATTATGAGGAGGATCGGTGTCGCGTCCGAGGCTCTCGAGGGCAACGTAAATGTATTAAATAGATAATAATAGTTCTATGGTGGGCTAAAACAATGTTCACAAACAGCATTGCTTCTGTAAAAAGATCTGTGTCATAAAATAAACTGCTCTTTACGCCTGGAAAAATCAGTTGCCCACCATTCACCAAAACATACGGTCAAAAACGCGGAAATAAAACAATAACAGCAATCCAGAGTGTCCGTGTGGCATTAGCATTAATTAAATTAATTGTTAATATAATTAAAATAATTAAATGGAGCTCCAACTGGTATTAAATCTAAAGTTTTTGAGAAATGTTTGCATTGCTTGTTAATTTTTGCTGCATAATTTGATCAAATATGTAAAACATGTCCGTAGCACGTTAAACTGTGGTGCCATTGTATTAATATACAATTATTTGCTCAAAAGTTGCCCTTTTTTTCCAATTTGCGTTTGAATATCTACATTTATTCTCATTCTTCTGTTTAATGGAATGCACAAACACAGCAGCGTGCCATCAAAGATGGCGTCTCCGAGGAGGTCATGTGACATTCATTGGTCTGTGGGAACTATGTATACAATATACACATACACATGTATACTGTAGATTCATACATACATACAGTATACATACGATAGATACTTTATTGATCGTTATTGATAAGTATTCACTATGTACTTTCTTTCACAACATGTTTTAACAACTTAATTTACAATTTAGGAAATGGGTGGGAAGAAGAAATACAACATTCAAAGTACAGATTGTTGTTTGTGAAAATTGGACTTTCAAATTGCACATGTTTAAACAATGATAGTAGTGTCCTCAAAAGACTTTTCGGGACTAAATGTTGGCAGTGAAACACAATACTTCTCATTCGCCCTTCCTTCCTTCCTTCCTTCCTCGTCACATGATAGTTTATCTGATGAAAAACTTGCCATAGCATTATAAAAAGCCAACTTCAATGCTTTTAAATGCGGCTTATAGCAGCAGATGGAAGCCTTGTAGTTGAGTTTCTTTAGGTCTTGATTACTGTAGAAAACTGCCTTTGGGTGTCAATGTGGTAATGAAAGAGTGCCAGATACGCCTTTATAAAGCAGGTGCTAATGAAAGGGGAATATACCCACAATGTCGCCCTCTGTCTTTTCTAATCATCAACCCCTCCTCAAGTCATTTTGTTTGTAGTTGATGAAAGGTATGGAGTCAAAGGGAAAGGCTCTGGGCTGAAGCTGCAAGGAACATGAGAATGCTTTGACTTTGAAAATGTTGATTAACTTATAGGTTGTTATTTTGCGCCAAAGATAAAGATTGTTGTGCGATACTTAATTTTTATATTAATTATTATTTAATTTTGGTTCTCATTTTGCTCCTTATTCCCACTGTTCTGTAATGATGCAATACTAATATTTCCCTGTGGCACAAAAAAAGAAACATTTGTAGGAAGGAGTAAAAGGATTACAAATACAGTTAGTCAAAAATAGTATTCTGAATATATATCCCATCGCATGTCCGTAACTCTCAAACTCTGACTAAACGAAACCATCGGACACGGGAATACCGGACCAGACCTAATCTATTTTAGTTATGTTCCTTTTGGGTTTCTAATTGGTCAGTCATTTTGACAACCTCCTCCTAAAACCCACAAACACATTAGCAAACAACAAAAGACTAGATAATCTTAGCGGGACCATTAGCTAATTATGTCGTGTCCGTAAAGCCCTGGTTTAGTGAATGAGTCACCCGGCTGCTCGTCGTTGTAGGGTATGTTTACAAAAAGGCCAGACCGCTGTTCCTGTCCTGGACTCGTCTGGGGTTTTGTAAAGAGTAACCCTACACTTTTCTTCCTCCACTATAGTGTCATTACAGCCAATCAGAGTGAAGCATGGGTGGGGCTAAAGCTTATGGCCTTGTGTGTGCGTCTATGGTTCATCTGAGCGTGTGTGTCTCGAGGCTTATGGCCAAAACAGCCCCTCTGAAGTGGAGACTTGCATAAGAGAATGGAAGAATGTCTCCACGGCTCTTCTGGCTGTAGTTCTTGCCTGACCTGCCAGAATGGTCATCTTTTATTGTAGGTCGTTTAAAGAGAATCCATTTGTTATTGTATTCTAGGTTCACATTTTAGAAGAAATAATCCCATGTTCTACTTCAGAAGCTTTTGATGGTAAATGGTGACATTAGCAGTTTTTCTTCTAAGAAGTTCTAACTATGCCTTTTATAAACTTTTTAATGAGTATAATTACTAAATCCACTGGACTTTGCATAAATTGTGGCTGGAACAATATATTTTGGAATATTTTCACCATGAGATTTTAACTTTGAATTGCAATAACATGTTTGCTTTACATGATTCAATAAGTAACCTTTTTTATCCATTATTTATCCATTTTTTATAACACAGATGGCGAGAGGGAGTTTTTGTCGCAAATTGTTGCAGATTGTTGAGATTTATGACCAAAACAAAGCTTAAGTGATGTCCCTGGAGAACATCTTCATAGAGATGACTAATTACACAGTCATTATCAGGTTTAGAAAGCAATTAATTGTGTTCTAAAGTGGTTACTATTTCAATAATTGATTAGTTGTGATTAATCGATTAATTTGTTACAGCACTAGTGAGACTATTCTTCACAAGATTTCCCATGAAAATGAGTGTATTATTATAGCAGGCCTAAGTCTAGGGGATTTTCTAATTGCATCATTCATAATTTTATACATCTGTGATATTATACAACTGTATTTATTGCTGCCCCAATTATACGCTTGCATAATTTGGTTTTATTCAGGCAGTCTATCTACCAACTCCGTTTTGAAGATATCAGCTCATGACGACATAACTTTTAGTATTACCTGAATAATACAATAGGATTTCTACTGTCATGCTTGCCAGTCACTTATTCTGTGCTTTCATGCTGCTTTCTCTGACCCCTTCCTAAACTCCGACCTTACCATGCTCTCATATCCCTTCATAAATCTGTCCATCACCACACTCCCAAGCGCCTGTAACCGGAACAGAGCCGCACAAGTACGTCAAGTGTCTTCCCAGCTTATCAGGCGAGTTAGTCACGTGGAAATCCCTGTCTGTGTCCTTCATACAAGAGGTGCTAATGAGAGGAGACAACTACCCACAGTGCTTTTCAGTATGTCTTTTATCATCTGTAAGACATTGGAGAAGATCTCCTGAAGAAGGTTTCAGTAAAAAAATAGTTTAAAATACTAGGCTTAACCCACCAGTACCAAAAAGACTAAACCAAGTTCAGTACCAGTAGAAATTCAGGCAAAAGCTCCAACCATGGCCATCACTGCGATAATTCAAAGTAAAGAAAGGGCCGGTTCAGGCATCATGACAAACACGCCGTTGTTCTTTAAAGGGCCTCTTTTGCTCGGGACAGTGTTGCCCTGGTCCTAGTTGAAGGCTGAGCCAGCAAATGGAGCTGAAATGAATTGTGAGGTGTTCACATCCATCCACTGAAAGGCAGTGAAGTGAAATTAACAGAGTTACCCAGGGATAATGGCCAGACCGATTCTGACGAGCCCACTCCGGCCTGCTCTGAGGGAAAAGCTATTTCAGTAAACACCATAAATTTACATCACCTATTTTGAGGCTTGTTTCACAAGTAACAGGAAAAATGTCTTTAGGACGACAGTTTTTACTGAGAAAATACTGACTTCATATTCTGTCTCATGAATGTAAAAGCATCGCTGATGCTGTGCACTAAAATGATATCATTATGTGTTGCAGTCGGCGTGCTGAGGATCCTGTGTCGAAGCCCGCGATGTGGATGTGCTTGGTTTACAATGAGACAGACTCCAGTGTGGACCAGCAGCTGTGCCAGGACCTCGGCCTCATCCTCTCCATCCTCTCCCTCGTCTACCTCCTGGTGTGCTTTCCTCTGGGTCTGTGCTACAACGTGCTGCTGGTGGTGGTCAACCTGTCCAACAAGGTATCCATGACGATGCCGGACGTCTACTTTGTCAACATGGCCATCGCAGGATTGGTGCTTAATGTGGTGGCCCCGGTGGAGCTGCTGAGCTCCAGCTTCAGCCGCTGGTTTGTTTGGGACTATAATAACGAGGTGTACATCACTCTGCTGATTCTTTTCAACATTTCATCACTGGTCATCATGTATTCCACCACACTACTTAGTCTGGACTACTATATTGAGCGGGCACTGCCTCGGACGTACATGTCAAGTGTCTACAACACTAAACATGTGTGCGGCTTCATCTGGGGAGGAGCGGTGCTAACCAGCTTCTCTTCTCTGCTCTTCTACGTCTGCAATCATGTCTCCACCAAGATGATCGAGTGCTCCAAAATGCAGAACAAGGAGGCAGCAGATGCGATCATGATGTTTATTGGTTATGTAGTCCCAGCAGTGGCAGTGCTGTATGCATTTGTGCTCATTTTACGGATTCGTAAGGAGTCTACTCCTCTCGACCAGGACTCAGCCCGTCTGGACCCTTCCATCCACAGACTGCTGCTGGCCTCTGTGTGTGTCCAGTTTGTGCTATGGACCCCTTACTACATGACTCTGTTAGTGCACACTGTGGCCGGGAGTCCAGGCTCCTTTAGTAACAGACACCACTATCCCACGTATCATTTCCTCAGATGTGTGGCCAAACTCTTAGCTTTCTCCAGCAGTTTTGCCATGCCCCTCATGTACCGACAAATGAATAAGAACTTCTCTAACAAACTTCAGCGGCTGCTGCGAAGGCTGCATTGCTCAGACCACTCATGTCCTCATGAACGCTCTGCGGTTCAGCAGGTGGTGACGTGAGCTCTCCCAGAGGGAGACTCTCTGGCCCCAACAGCACTTAACGTGGCTCTAGACCAGTCACTGGACCCTACCAGCTCGAGGAGCCCAGCTCTGGACGTACAGCGGACTGTGGATATTCCTGTTACCTGTAAGAGCTCGATCTGACAAATGCGACTCTGCAGTGAGGACACAAGCTAAACCACTAAGTGCTATTATGTTTGTTACCAACTAAAGCTACCCAACACACTAGGATTCTAGTTTGAGGGCATTAGGCACAAACAGCAGCTAACCATGAAGGAAACATGCTTGTAACGAGGACTGCAAAATCAATCACAAGGCATGTCTGATGTTCACCATTTAGGTTTGCATGCTTACCTGTGCATGGCTGCCAGGCATTATTTCAGAATTACAGAATTATAATTAATACTTGAAAGACATATGTTAATAATAAATAGCTATTACATAAATATAAAATCCATCTTCTTGACATTTAAATAATCTGAGAAATTGTTCCCACAAACTACATTTATCACTTGAACATGTTTGTGTATTTGTGTATTGAATTGATTATAACCTGTGGTATACTCTTTGAAGGTGGTGTGCTGAGTTATGGCCTTTTTCATGTATAAGAAATGGCAGCTTGCCATATTTCAAAACATTCAATAATACTTTAAACCAGGTTTCCAGCTCAAACTCTTGATCTCTGCTGACCTCACATGCGTTCAAACACTTCAGTGATAACCTCCATTGTTTAGCCAGGTCTCCTACAAACCAGGGTGTGAAGTCTATACTGAGAAAAAAGGAGCCATTTTGTACATTCCCTGCATTGTAGGAGTGTTTGAGAAGTTTTTTCCCAGTGAGAAATATGTCAACTGTTTCAGTCACTGTCACAGATTGTCTTTCAAGTTCCCATATATTAAAGCATATATGGGTAAAGGGTGTCACATAGGCTGCTTTCCTTGGTTTATTATTGTAAATAATTTAATATTCATAAGAAATGTAGCATGTTTCTTGGGCTTCTCCTTTCCAGTTATCTTTTGACACCTTTTTGTTTTGGTTTTAACATCTATATCCTACTGTAAATGCTACCAAATCACTGCATTTGGTGTAGTTGATTATTACTCAGAGCCAGCTCAAAGTCCTGGTATTTATTTAGGATTTGAATGCAAACAGTGGCAGCGGGTCAAATGCTGATGGTCGGATCACGCGAGCTGAAAACCCCACTTCAAATACTCCCGCTCTTATCATACGATAGGCAAACACCAGTTAAGTATGCTATGTTACTGAAAATGGGCATGTGATTCAGTCATAACTAAACCGTAAAATGTATTTATGTATTCAAGAATTTCAAGAATTATATTTTTCCGTTCAATCAATCCAAAATGTAATGCAATTCTGCCATGTCATGTTAGTCCATGCCTCACAAACATCAAGGACAATCATGCAATATTAAAACTGATAATAACCTAATAATACATTGTATCACTAGGGAAATATTTCTATAAGGAAAATGAAAGTGGATGTCAGTTACTTTGGCTTATGAAGAGAAAATCAAACCTTTTGAGCATGGGCAGGTCTAACAAAAGCAGGTCTAACAAGCAAGGACAATTAATTGCCCTTTGGGATCAATAAAGTTTTCTGAATCTGAATCTGAAGCACTGGTTGGACCTGCCCATGCTCACCTCTGCTTTCTCCTGATTGTTCGAAATGAGTTCAAATCCTTGAGCCCCCCTCAACAATTCTCCTCCTGCAAATCTTTCTGTTTGAAGTTATGGCCGGAGAAGGGACTCTTATTGTTGAAAATTACTTACTGCCCATAATAGTACAGTGTCCCATGGTGAAAAATAAACATTCTTTAAAAAACACTAAATCATGACTTATCCAAATGAACGGCACCATATCTATGACTTGCTAATGACGCCCGTAAATTGAACTTGTTCAAAACAACGGCTTGAGTTTCTGTCCGTGACTAGAATGTTCTTTTCCATGGGCCTCTACATCAGTAAGTGGGTTGATAATGACGGCGAAATGCTGTAAAACTTTCCTGACTCAAGCTAATATTCAAGATTCAGACGCTCCTTCAGATGTGATGACTGGATGCACGTGTAGAAAACAGCGTAATGTCTAATGTGTATATATTGTTTGTGAATATGGTCCAACCGCAACCAGGCTCTTTCAAAAGTACAGTGTTATTTCATGAGAGTTATATATATATACATAGATTCTGTAAGTAATCCTCAGTGAGTCAAAGACTGATTAAATAATAAACTAACATGAAAATCCTTGCTGGGTCTTTTGTATGTTTTTCAATTAAATTGGTCATTTTTGGTATGTGAAAATAATATGTATTAATAAAGGTAACTAGTGGCCTCTCAGCTTTCCATAACAATTTATTTTAGTGTCATAATTTCTTGGAAAGTAGCAAATAAAAATATGATTTCTGTTTAAATGTTACATTTCTCATTTTCAACCATAGAGCCAGTGTGCTGAGATGGATGTTTTTTGGATGCCACCATGTTGTGTAGTGGTATAGGCAGATTGCTTGCGGCGAGGCCCTGTAACCACGCCATTCAGATGGGGAAAAAATAGCGGCATTCCTTACATTCTGGGGATTTTTTAGTCTTTGCTGTGTCTAACAATCCCAATATTGTTGTAGTTTCAGGAAAAACAATACTGGGTAGGCCACAATGCATTAAATAAAGCTTTGTACAGACAAGGACGCTCAGAGTGAAGAAAGAATTGAGCATTTGGACTACACCTGCCGAACTAAGACTAACTGCTCAAATCAAGACTGTCTGGACAAAGAGTAGATGCAGTCAATTTGATTTTGTTGATTTTGTATCAAAAAATATTAAAACAAAAAAAAATATTATTTGAGCCGGGATTTTTGTTTATTTAAAGCAAGAAGTGTATGTTGCCTAAAATGATTCTATAAAAAATAAAAGTTAAAACCACATTCTTGGTGGATATTGTATTCATTGACTAGAAGATGAATGACAAAGAACCAACATTTCCATGGAAACGAGCAGGATGAAGGCTCCATTCCAGAAGAGCAAGTCCGCTCGGATTGAAGACGCAAAATCAAAAGTACAAGTTAGTACGTGTGGTTCTTCTACATGTTGCACAATAAAACCTGCCTTGTATTTAGCCCAATAACATCTGGTTAAACATTAATGTTACTCAATATAAAATGTGTTTGCTACAGATTATGAGCTCTAAAAAAACACAACCTGGCAGAAAAGTGTGTTTTTGGGGAGTTTACATGTATTGCACATCTGGTGTTAATAATGACATTATAATGAAGTCAGTCATACTGTATAAACATTAACCTACCGTCTTAAAAACAACAAACAAATATTTACTGTTTGGGTTATGTATTTCCTAAATCCCAGACTAATCTAAAATAGTACATTAACAACATTATGACAAGTATGTAGACAAATTCAACTGTGGTTTTCTTAGCATACCACGTTTACACTAAGCATGTTTTCCTTGAGCAGAACTTCATGCCAGACCAAAACTATGAGTCTGGTCTGGTCCCGCGAACAGCAGACCACCTACAGCAGGGCGCTCTGGCAGGTCCTTTGGATTGTGGTTTTCAATATTTGATTTGGCTGTTGCACAAGTTTCACACAAAGGCTAAGACCACCAGTGTTTTCTGTAATATGGGTCATGTTCGACTTTCACATGTAAGGACTGGAACAAGGTAAAATGCAATGAAATGAAATAGTGTTTAGGTTACACTGTTTAGGCCAAGGGGTGGTGATTTTCAAACCAAGGTGATAATTCAATGGAAAGGAAACAGAATATGAATATGATACAAGTGCTACACAAAATGTGGAAACTAGAATGTATTGAATTGGTACCGGTAGTTGTTATATTATTAAAGATATAATCCAAAATGTACTTTTAAGTTATTATGATTTTAAATGGGTTTATATAAATAATAATAATAAATATGACATTTGCCCAAATATAAATTCCTTAAGTAGCAATGCAAGTGTACATACAAATAAAGCCATATAAATCTTGACTATTTCTGTGATAGGTAGCGACTGTTTTATTGTATTATAAATACAGATATTGGAAAATACAATCCTCTATCTGAGTCTATATCTAGTAGCACGTGGTAATCTATCCTCTTTTGCAAGGTTAACGCAACTTTCAATCATAAACTTAACTTAAACTGAAGCTTAACATATAATTAAAAACAGTCTTAAAACAGTTCTCTTGTCCAGGACCGGAAGCATGTGGTGTGTGTTTTTGGGTGGTGGATATTTACAACCTTCAACCACCGACTTCCATGAACCACTGTGCTAAAGCTCTGTGTGAGAGTTGTTTTGTTAACTGTGGGACAGGAGTGTGTGCTAAAGACATCTCACAAAATGAGACAAAAAGCACAACATTTGTGATTTACTGATATGAAGTGCGGTGTGAAAGCCTGAACCATTAGACCTCAGAGGATAAGCAAAGCAGGGCCTTGTTAGGACTGTGATGGGAGACCTCTGGGAAAGCCAGGTGCTACAGTGGGCGGCTGTAAAGTGCCAAACTATTGTGTCCTTAGGAACAACACTTTAACCACTTTGCCTAGAATGAGTCTGGTGTGTATGAATAGTTCAATTCAATGCATTCTTGAATAGATTTTATTACAGCTTTTTTCACTTTGGTGATTTTCTCAGATCAGAATGAAAGTTCTCATAACTATTAGTTCAACCACCACAACATTGAGTCACTGGTGCACATCATCGTAGCAGTTTCTTTCCTTTGAACAGATTACAAATGTTTTTGGACATGTATCAGTTAATTTCATATAATTCTCTGCTGTTTTATAACATTATCATTTGCTTATGTCATGTCAGTCAAAATGAAACATACTTATGACTTCTGAATAGTCTTTCCCTATAAAACTAACACTTCAGTCATCACATACAAAATTAGATGTCAAAATCTGTTGCTAGGGAAGACATCTGCTGTGATGTAGATGTATAGTAAACATACATGCACACATACATACATATGTG